GCCAGAGAGATCTAAAAATCGTATCTGTTTTGGTTTTGTTATAATTTAATTAGCCATAATTTTTAATCTGGCCCACCAACTGTGCAGCTGGTAGCTTTCCCGTTTGCTTTGACCAATAGTACGGCGGCTGGTGGTCAATCTACTGTTGGCGGTCCCATCTTTCGTTTTTTTTTCTCTCGATTAGGTTATCAGCTAAAAATTATTGCTGACAAGAGCACGTAGTAAGGCTTTAGTCATTCTGGGATGCTTTTCGTGTGTTTTGGGCATCATTACTATCCTATGGCTTTTCTTAGAGCGACTTGAAGTATTTTGTCGATTAAGAATGATTTTTAAAAATCCTGGAAATCCAGAAGTCTTTTAATGAAATAATAGGGACAGATCCATGGTCGCGAAGTTCGTTTGTAGTAATAATTGCGATAAAAAATAATGATTCTGAGGTAGAAAGGGGCGCGAAATTGGATTACATGATAGCACTATGCCAACATTGATACCCGTTGGCAAGGCATGCTTCTTTGTTTAAATATTGACTGAAAAACAGTCTGAAAGAAATGTACGATTTTTGAAATTTACAAATAGCAATATACACAATAATTATTGTTATTATTGTCATTATTGTTATCACTATATTATAATAATAATAATGGCGATAGTAGTGATAATAGTATTGATAACAATAATGTTAGTAATAACGATAACAGCAATAATAACAATAATAAATAGTGTAATAATAACAATAATAATAACGGCGTTAATAAAAATGACAACATTAATAACAACAATAATGAATAATATAGTAACTACAATAATAACAACAATAATAGCTGTGTTAATAATAATGAGAACAGTATTGACAACAATAATAAATGCGATAATAATAGCAATAATAACAATAGTAGTAGCGACACATTAATTACAGTAATAATGATAATAATAATAATAATAACAATAATAATAATAATAATAACGGTAATAACAATAATGACAGTAATATTAATAACAATAATAATAATAAAAGCACTAGCAATGTTTATTTATTACTTATATGTCATTGAGACGATCTGATTTACTACATGGACGAAGAAAACAGATAATTGAGAGGAACTGATAAAATTTCTGTACTATTAATGGAAACAAATTTTTAGTGGGACCTCCTTTGCCGAAAACGATGCAAGTTCTTTCCCAGAGCAATGCACTGATTTTTCCGGAATTACTACCTGAGGTATGGTTTTTTTTTGATCACTGTTTTTATATTAATTTGAAATTCCCCCAAAAAATTCCCCCCAAAACTATCTTGATTGTTGACTGTCTGTCTTCTATTGAAATTGGTAGTTTCTGCTGCAGATTTTCGGCCTTTTTATGCATTTTATGCTATGCAGTAGCTGCACAAAATGCATATTGTCACGGGTTTGTTTGCGTGTGTGTATGTATGTGTCCGTGTGTGTGTGTGTGTGTGCGTGTGTGTGTGCTTGTGTGTGTGCATGTCCGCGTGTGTGTGTGCATGTCCGCAACAACATGTTTTTTTGTTAAGCGGAAACGAACTGCGAGTTGATATGTTTAAATACTTCGATTAGAAATGGTTGTTACTAATTTTAGGTTAAACTGCATGTTTTAGCCAAAAAAAAAACTCAAAGGGCTTCATAAGTTAGCTAAAGACGCGCAAAATTTCTAGAAATTTGCAAAATTTAACCAAAAGATAAGTTTTGAATAAAAAATGAGAAATAGGTCCAAAAACGTTGAATTTTTGGGCCGTAACATTAGAGAAAAATATGTGGCCCATACAAATGAATAGGAATTCAGATAAGAAATATGCTGAAAATCGTTAGGTCAAACGGTGTGGATGTTCTATGTTACACATCAAGCGCAGATGTGCGGGGCCTTTCAATTTTGGGTTGCCTACCTCCGTTCGAGGAGTAGAGGATGA